CCATTTATCCATTGAGAATTATGTAGCACGTTAAAATTTGCAAAATGATTTATATGTTACTTCATTTGATCTCACAACAACCCTGTGAGATAGTTACTATTATTATTTCCATCATACAGATGAAGAAACTGAGGCTGAGACAGGCTAAGTGACTTGCTTAGGCATTGTAAAATGTCTAAGACAAGATTTGAGCTCAGGTCTTACTCTGCTGTGCCACCTAGCTATGCAGTGACCTAGAAGCAAAGGGAGAAGAAGATCAAGAAAGGGAGGATTGGCTACGTTGCTGTTGGCTAAAAGTAATTATTGAAACCATGAAAATGGATGAGCTCACCAATAGAAATTACAGAGAGAGAAAAGAAGAGGGTCAAAGATAGACCCTTAGGGATACCCATATTTTAGATCTGGGAAAAGAATTGGGGACCTGCAAAGGAGATAGAGAAGGTAGGAGTAGAAACCATGAAAGTACAATGTCAGAGAAGCTAAGGGAGGGTGTTGAAGAAGAGGCAGGCAATGTAAAATTTTGCAGAGAGGTAAAGGAGGATATAGAGAGAAGAAAGTTCACTGGATTTAGTGATAATGGACATTATTAATGACCTTGGAAAGATGTTTTTGGTATAGCAGAGGCAATGGAAGTGAGATTGCAATGGATTAAATTTTGAGTAGATGGTAAAGTTAAGACGATACGTATTGTCTACACTTTCTGGAAGTCTGGCATTGAAGAAAGAGAGGATGGTAACTTGAAGGAATGTCAGGATAAAGAGGAGTTTTTATTACCAGTATTATTATCGTTTAAAGTTTAATTGATGACATTTGTTTTTACACCAATCATTTCTGGATATCTCACTCAGTCAGCCCCCTTCCCCTCCACCTAGTGAACCTTCCTTTGTAGCAAAGAAAGTTAGGTAAAACCAACTAAAGATAATGACCATGTCTGATTGTATTTACAACATTATGCATCCATTTGACTTTCCCCCTTTTCTTAGAAAGGGAATAAATTGTCAATCCTCAAGCATTTATTAAGCAACTACCATGTGCCAGGTATTGTACTAAGTGCTGGAGATAGGAAAGAAGGCTAAAATCAGTCTGTGCTTTCAAAGAGAACAGTCTAACGTGAGAGACAACATGAGAAGAATTATGTACAAACAAGATATATACAAGTTAAATATACAGCATAAACGTAGAGGGAAGGGACTAAGATCAAGGGAGAATTAGAAAGATTTCATGTATAAGGTGATATTTTAAAGCTGGGACTGAAGGAAGTCAATGAGTATATTTTATCATCTCTTCCAGGTTAGCTTTGTTTTAGTATGTATATCATTTTCCTAGTTCTCTGTACTTCATTCTGCATCAATTCATACAAATTCAAGGAAAGGATTTTTTGTAGAATAGTTATAGATCTCAGCATCTTTGTATACTAGGAGTGTAGGTGAAGGAGCCAAAAGAGAGGATTATAGCCTGAGGGAGTGGCTTGGTCAGTTTTGAGAAATGGATAAACTTTTTATTCACTGAAAGTCCTGAAACATTTACTATTAAGTTCTAAGAATAAAAATTGGTGTGGATTTTAGAAATGACATACGTGGCTTTGATTATGCTCAATTACTTTGGGCATTTGAGCATGGAATCACCCCTGTGCTGAAACTTTCACCTACCTATTTTCTTCACTAGGCAGAACTTTGACCAAATAGATGGTTTTATACTGTCCTATTTTTCAAGATACACTTTTGAGAAAATTTCATTGTATTCCTTGTTATCCTATTCCAGTTTTATGTAAGATTTATGAGAGCTGTCTTATTGCATTCTGACATTTTGTAAAAGATGCAGACAAAAAACATATTTGGGAAATAGGATCTCTTACAACTTATAGTATTTGAGAGTGTAACAATTTACCTTAGGCTGGAGATTCGCCTCCCTAAAGTTTACTTGGCAAAGCTTTTATTGCTTAACAATCACCTATGATTTTGTTAGTGTAAATGTAAGGTGAAGTTTAATAGATCTGAACCTGTGAGATACAGGAACTGGATTCAAATTCAGCCTGTAGCTCATTCTGGTTCTGTTATGTTGGGCAAGTTACTTTAGCGATGTTGCAGAATAGTTGCTGGAATCATTGGCACTCTCCCCCCCATGCTGGACTTTTTCTTCCCGGGTAAGAATTGATTCCCCTTTTGTAAACAAACAAGCCTTGAGATAATAACAGTTTTACCAGACTAATAAACATGGAATGTTGTAGCTAACCTCTTCCTACTTTCTTTCTTGTCCTTCCTTAAAATACACAGCTAGATCCAATAAAATCCCTACCATAAGAATTCCTCATGTTTGACCATGTCATTGTCCTGAACAAAAAGTTACTTTTCTATTGACTTTAGGATAAAGGCATTTATTATGCACATTTTCTATTCCTGGTATGTTACTAAGCACTAGGATCACAAAGGGAAAAAACAATGAAACAATTCTTTTCCTCAAAAGCTAACATTCTTTTTTTTTGTTTGGGGGGGAGGAGGGGAATACAACATATACATGTATAAGTAAATAGAACATATACACACAATAGAGATAGAGTAATTTTTTGAGGGAGTGAAAGGCACTAGCTGGTGGAGAGATTCAAAGAGGCTTTCCATAGAAGGTGGTACTTGAGCTGTGTTTTTTTTTTTTTGTTTTGGTGAGGCAATTGGGGTTAAATGACTTGCCCACGGTCACACAGCTAGTTAGTGTTGTGGGTCAGAGGCCGTATTTGAACTAAGGTCCTCCTGAATCCAGGGCTGGTGCTCTATCCACTGTGCCACCCACCTGCCCCTGAGCTATGCTTTTCTATGAAGTAAGATGGGAGTGTATTCTAGGCGTGAAGGACAGCCTGTGCAAAGTCACAGGTAGGAGGTGAAATAATAACAATAGTAGCGAGCGTTTATATAATGCTTTGAGTTTTTCTAATTGCCCTACAAATATTATCTCATTTTATCCTCACAACAACCCTGGGAGTAGGTGATATTTTTTTTTTTGTCCCCATTTTACAGATGAGGAAACTGAGGTAGATACAAGTAAAGTGACTTGTCCAGGGTCACATAGCTAATAAGTATCTGAGGCTGCATTTGAACTTAAGTCTTCCTAGCTACAGGTCCATTGCCCTGTTGTGTATCAGTAACAGCAAGTGGGCCCAATTTGGGGTCATAGCTACATGACTGGAAGTAATGTGTAATAAGCCTTGAAACTAAATATAGTTATAGCTAACTTAGCTCTTTGCTCTAAAATTCTTTGCTTGTATTATTTTAAGATCTCCTTTCGTATAATGCTTAAGTATCTGATGAAGTAAAAAAAATGAACACAGCACATATGATGTGTGAATTTATAACTTGAGTGTGAGACTTGATGGAAAATGTTAAATATTCAGAGGTATTCATGTCACATAAGACTTATCAGCATGGAAATAGGAGGTCATTTAGAATAGTTTGATGCTCTGTGTGTTCATAGCACTTTCACGATTGGAAGCCATCTCCACCCCTTATCTCCTTTTGTGTTTATCTGATACTTTTTTCTCTTAGCTTGACCTGGAATTGCTGTTTTCATACCTGCATTAGAATATTCATATTTTGACTTTTCCTATGGAATCCATGTTTATTGATCTGTTCGTTTTTCTTCCATTTTGCATGTCATACTGCATGATCTCTAGGTAGATGGTGTTAACCTGCCTATTGGAATCTTTGTAATTGGGCAGATTCAGGGCAGAGCTATGTAGATAGAAAGGCTCTAGTATTTTTGGAAGTTTTTCCTCTTTGGAGGAAAGTTAAGTGTATGTGTTTATATTGCAAATAGAATCATATTTTTTTAAAACTGGAAGGGATGCAGAGAAGAAAAGTCTTAGGGGAGCATGATAGCTGTCCTCAAAGCTTTGAAGGGCTGTCACATGGAAGAGAAATTAGACTTGGTCTATTTGGCCTCAGAGGAGAAGACCAACAGTGGGTCAGCATTGTAGAGAGGCAAATTTAGGCTTGATGAAAGCTGAAAAATCTTAGCCTAAAGTGGAATGGGCCAAAATAGGAAGTTGTGATTGCCTTCTCATTGTGGGGAAGCATTCAAGCAAAAGCCAGCTGACCACTTGTCGATATATTGTCGAGGGCATTCTTGGTCAGGTATTGACTTGAATGGTGTCTGAGGGCCCTCATAACTTGGAAGTTCTGTGACCTTGGAGATCTCCTGGTTCATCCCCTACGTTATATAGATTAGATAATTGAGATAAAGAGAACTGAAGTGACTTAAGTGCTCTTGCTTTAGCCAGAGTTAGTGGCAGAGTTAGACTCTTAATTTGAAAATATGCAAGCCAGTACAGTTCTAAAATAGTAGATTTATAGTTCTGAGAAAAAAAGAAGTGTATGTGTGTGCAGAGTTTAATAATTGTGAATAAGAAATTTGGCAATATTTACAGTGTTTTGTATTAGAAATGAAAGATTCTTTCCTATCTTTGTCTCTGGCTCTCCCTCTCCATCTCCCTCTTCCTATCCTTCCGCCTGTCCTTATCCCTGCCTCTGTCTCTCTCCCTCTGTCTCTCCCTGTTTTTGTCTCTGTCTCTTTCTGTCTCTCCTTTCCTTCCTCTGTTTCTCTGTCTATCTCTGTCTGTCTCTGCCTCTCTGTTTCTCTGTCTCTCTCTCCCTCCTTCCCTCTGTCTGTTTCTCATTCTCTCCCTCTACCTTCTTTTTTTTTTTGATTTGTCCTAACAGTGTCCCTGTGGGGATATGGAAAGCATTTTGTACTAATGGGTAAACAGAGGCCCAGAAGTTGTAGGGTGTGCTTCTAATGACATTGATGATGGTATATGTAACTAGATCTCATGTTAAATATAGAACATCTTTTGAAAAATGGCTTCATTAATAATATATAATGGAGAAAGTTTGGGGAGTTTTTCAGTTCTGCAGAAGGGTAGACTCCTGTCACCAAAGAATAATAGCTTTTAAAAAATTAACATTGAGGTCTTTTACATTTTTAAACATTGTACTATGTATGTTTTCTTTCAGATTAGTAAAGAAGAAAAGGCGCTCCACTCTCAGGATATTCTTGATTCATCCATGCCTTTAAGGTGGAAACAAGTATGAATTAGAAGCTGTTTATAAGGTGAGAAAATTGTTTGAATGTTTCCTAGGATTTTTGTAACTCTTAAGTTAGAATAGTTGTGGGGAAGTTGATGATTTTCCCTTTAGTGTTTTTGGATGTCTCACCCTTAATTGGTACAATATTCTAATTTGATTGTGGTTCTAAGGTTTGCTACTACAACTGATTTTGTTTTTCAGTATTTTTGTTTTTATAGTAATACCTGAGTAATTGGAGGGTTGGGGGTTATTCATAGGGGAAAGTATGACTTTTAGAATTCTGGAGAAGAAGTACATTTTTACTACTTGCACGTGTATACAACATCCAGGTTCTGGCTGACCAAATGTTGTTGGGGACAATTAACCAAGAGCACTTAATGAATACAGAGGAGTGATGTATAAATAATATGTCAATTGTTGGAAGTTTTTTTTCTCTTAAGTTATTGAAGCCTACCTTTTTAGTCTTGTTATCATAATATTACTTTATTTAGCCAATTTGTTTTTCGTAGCAACAATAAAGATATATTTTAAAAAGAAAGCTAAATAAAAATGTAGGAGGACTGACATGGCTAGGTAGTAGATAAAATGCTGGAGCTGGAGTCAGGAAAACCCGAGTTCAAATCTAGCTCCAGACATTTACTACCTGTGTGACCCTGGACAAGTCACTTAACCTCTGTCTGCTTTGATTTTTCTCATGTATAAAATAGGGATAATAATAGTGCCTACTTTCCTGGATTGTTGTGAAGATCAAATGAGATAATATTTATAAAGTACTTTGCAAACCTTAAAGTGCTGTATAAATGTTTACTGTGGTTTCTTCTCTGTTGTCTCTTGGGCAATCTTAGAAACACATTCTCAGATGTAAACCTTATTAGCCTCTTCTGGCTACAGGTTCTCAGAATAGCTGTCCCACCTAGCAGTCTGACCAGTTCCGGTCAGTTCTCTAATTCTTTCCTGCTACCTACAGAGACACGTTCAAGTCAAGCCAACCAGCACTTATTAAGGGCCTCCCATTGCCAGGTATTGTGTCTCACAGACGAGTGAAACTTTTATCCCGGGATCCCCAGTTTTTTTTTCCTCTCCCCCTCCTCCCCCTCCTTCCTGGCCCCTCCCCCTCCCCCTCTCCTTCATCATCAGAGGATGCAGAAATTAAGGACACATGTTACAAAATTGCATCCAGTTAATGGTTGGAGTCAATGGACAGACTTCCAGTGTCTTTCTCTGTCCTCCCAGGGAAGCTTGTCCCAGGTCTAAATAAAAGTATGCCATGTAAATTAAGGGTCTTGCCAAGTCAGAGGAGCAGAATCACTCCATGCCCCTCCAGATTACTTTTATCCCTGAAAGCCAGATGTTGCATCAGCCCAGAGGTTGCTCAGCAGTTGTCAAAACAAGATGAATTAGAAAGGCATCTAGGTGTTGCAGTGGATCAAGCCTTGCTGGACTCCAGAAGATTCATCTTCCTGAGTTCAAATGTGGCCCCAGACACTTACCAGCTGTGTGACCTTGAGCAAGTCACCCAACCCTGTTTGCCTCAGTTTCCTCATCTGTAAAATGAACTGGCAAAGGAAACGGCAAACCACTTCAGCATCTTTGTCACAAAAATCCCAAATGGAGTCATGAAGAGTTGGACCTGACTGAAATGACTGAACAACAATATGAATTAGGGGTAGTCTTTGAATTTTTTCTTTCTTTCCCATTTTATGATTTTTTCTTTTAGGACTTCGTCATTCAGCCGTATTTTCTGTTCTCACATAATTAAATTCATACCATGCCTACTGCCCTTGGGGTATTTCTTCACTTAACATTTATATAAAACAATGGGTTCTTTGTGGAGTTTGTAGCAGGGCCTGGCCAAAACCCATTAAACAGACCTTCTAATATTTGATGATACTAATCATGCATGCTCACATTGTCCCATTAAGTTTTTTTTTGGCCTCTGACTTAAATATCCCTGGTTCTGTAATTCGATCCTGGGATGGTCTTGTTTTAAAAAAAATTTTTCCCACAATTATATGTTAAAAACAATTTTTAACATTTATTAAAATTTTTTTTTGAGTTCCAAATTTTCTTCCTTCCTTTCTACTCGCCCCTCCCCCCACATTGAGAAGGCAAGCGATTGATGTTATACATGTGCAGTCATGAAAAACGCATTTCATGTTAGTCATGTTGTGAAAGAGGACACAGACAAAAAAAACCCTAAGAAAAATAAAGAAATAGTATGCTTCAATCTGAATTTAGACTCCATCAGTTCTTTCTCTGGAGATGGGTAGCATTTTTATCATAAATCCTACAGAATTGTCTTGGATTATTATATTACTCAGAATAGCTAAGTCATTCATAGTTGATCATCATACAGTATTGCTGTCACCATATACAATGTTCTCTTGGTTTTGCTCATTTCACTTTGTATCAGTTTATTTAAGTCTTTCCAGGTTTTTCTGAGAGCATATTGCTTGTCATTTCTTATAGCATAATAGTATCCCATCACAATCATATACAACAACTTGTTCAGCCATTCCCCAATTGATGGACATCCCCTCAATTTCCAAATCTTTGCCACCACTAAAAGAGCTGTTATAAATTGTTTTGTACATATAAGTCCTTTTCCTTTTTGTTTTTTCATCTTTGGGAAACAGACCCCCATAGTGGTATTTCTGGGTCAAAAGGTATGCATGGCTTTGGGCATAGTTCCAAATTGCTGTACAGAATGACTGAATCAGTTCACAACTCCAGCAACAATGCATTAATGTCTTAATTTTCCCATATCCCTTCCAACATTTGTCATTTTCCTTTTTTGTCAAATTAGCCAATCTAGTAGGTGTGGGGTGATAGCTTAGAGTTGCTTTAATTTGCATTTCTGTAGTAGTGATTCAGAGCATTTTTTTCATATGACTGGATAGCTTCTTGAAAACTGTCTGTTCATATCCTTTGACCATTTATCACTTGAGGAATGGCTCTTATTTCTATAAATTTGGCTCATTTTTCTATGTACTTGAGAAATGAGATCTTTATCAGAGAAACTTGCTCTAAATTTTTTTCAGTTAAGATTACTATATATTTCCCATGTCCCATTTCCCCCCCGGTTTATCTTATTATCTCTCCTTTCACTCTGTCCATTCCCAAAAGTATTTTGCTTTTGGCTTTACCTCCCCTAATCCACCTTGCCTTCTAACACAACCCTTTCCCTCCTGCTTTCCTGTATGGTAAGATAGATTTCTATACCCAAGTGAGTGTGTATGTTATTCCCTCTTTAAACTTATTCTGATGAGAATAAGTTTCACAAACCTCCTCCTTCCCTGTCTTCCCCTCTACCATAAAAACTCTTTTGTGCCTCTTTTATGTCAGATAATTTATGCCATTCTACCTTTCCCTTTCCCCTTCTCCCAATGCATTCCTTTTTCTCATCCTTTAATTTAATTTTTTAAGAGAATCAGCCCATCATATTCAACTCATACTTGTGCCCTCTATGTATACTCCTTGTGGCTTCCCTAATAATGAGAAAGTTTTTAGGAGTTACAAGTATCATTTTCCCATGTAAGTTTAACCTTATTGAATCCCTTATGATTTCTCCTTTCTGTTTACCTTTTTATGCTTTTCTTGAATCTTGTATTTGAAAGCCAGATTTTCTATTCAGCTCTGGTCTTTTCATCAGTAATGCTTTAACGTCCTCTATTTCATTGAATGTGCGGTGTTTCAAAACCCTGAAGGATTATGCTCAGTTTTGCTGGTTAGGTGATTCTTGGTTATAATCTTAGCTCTTCTGCCCTTTGGAATATCATTTTCTAAGCCCTCTACTCCTTTACTGTAGAAACTGTTAAATCTTGTATTATCCCAACTGTGGATCCATAGTTATTTGAATTGTTTCTTTCTGGGTGACCTAATTGATGTCTTCATCTGGTATTCATTCCATTCTGTACTATGGGAAGGAAAACAAATATTTTCTTTATATAACTATAAGGTATTAGTTGTTAAGTCATTTTTTAGTCATGACTCTCTGTGACCCCATTTGGGTTTTTCTTGGAAGAGATACTGGAGTGTTTTACCATTTCCTTCTCCAATTCATTTTACAGTTGAGGAACTGAGGTTAAGTGACTTGCCCAGGGTCACACAGCTAATAAGTGTCTGAGGTAGGATTTGAACTCACGAAGACGAGTCTTTCTGATTTCAAGCCCAGTGCTCTATCCACTACACCACCTAGCTGCCCTACTATCAGGCATAAACCTAATCAAATTACATTAGACAATCAATTTCTGGTTCTGTGGTACCACTCCATTTTTGGAAGGCCTAGCAAACAGCTTATACTTTTATCTGGACCAAAAATATTCTTCCCTGCCGCCTTCAAAAGGCTCAAGTAATGGTTGAACACAGCTTAGACAAAGCAAACCTCTATACCTTTTATAGTTTTTTTTTTGAATTTAAAAAAAAAGCCAGTTATTCATATATATCGACTTTTAATTCAAGCCTTTATATTCTATATGCACCTTTTAAAAAGTATCATTATTAAGGATCAAGACATATAAAGTCATTGATGTGGTTTGGCCTTGTATTTCTTGGGAAACTTTTTTACAGGATACTCCAGAAAAACTAAGAAATGAAATATGGCCCCAATGTGCCAATAGTTTTAAGTAAGGCAAACTTTTTTTTTTTTTTTGGCCAGGCAGGGAGAAGAGGAGAAGGAGGTCAGGTCTCCAGAGCAGAAATCAAAGTACTTTGCCAATATTATCCTTATTTGAAAGATCTAAAACCTCTAAGTTAAAAATAGTTTTCAGATCTGTCAAGTGAAGTTTGTCAGAATTTGTCATTTATAAATGTTTTAACTCTTATCTATATCTTGGAAGGTGGGATCTTTGTATTATTTTGCAGGAGGGTGGAGGAAGAAGGAGGGACCCTCTTTCCATTTCATCTTTTGAAGGAGAAAAATTCCTTCGCACTCTGGAAAATCTTACATCTTGTTTTATTCACCTGAGTCCTTTTGTGTTGTACTTTCTCTGACAATATTTCTGTCTGCTTATACAAGAGTATTTAAAGTCAAATAATATAGTAATAATATACTAAATAAGTCACGGAGCATCTCCCTTCCCAAAGTTCTATTTTTGCAACCTAGAAAATCCCAAATGGGATTATGAAGAGTCAGACATGACCGAACAACAACGAAACTTTTATGGGCAGCACTGGGCCTGGAGTGAGGTAGAGCAGTTCAAATCTGGCCTCAGACACTTGCTAGCTGTGTGGTCCTGGGCAAGTAAGTTAGCCCTGTTTGTCTCAGTTTCCTCATCTGGAAAATGATCTGGAGAAGGAAATGGCAAACTACTCCAGTATCTTGGCCAAGAAAACCCTAACTGGTGTCACAGAGTTGGACAAGACTGAAACAACTGAACAACAATTGTAGAGCAATAAACAGAGATGAAAAATTGATTTAATAGAAAAAGTGAACAGTAAAGTGGTTGTTTCATTATTGACATTTTCTAGTGTTGGAATAAACTCTTTAAATTTACAGTGAACAGAGTAAGAGACATTTGGAGGCTACTTATATACTATCTTGATAGTTTTAGTAGTACATATTTTGTGCACACATTCCACTTGATGCTGTGTGAAATAAAGAGTAGGGGGCAGTGCTCAGTAGGAAACCTAAAAAGTTGTAAGTTGGTAGAGATTTCAGTTTTCAGCTTGGTAAGGTAATGTAGGAGAAAAAGCTTAGATGTAGAGTCAAGACTGGCCCTGCTACTTAGTTGTGTGATGTTCAGCAAGTTGCTTCAACTCTCTCTGAGCCCTGACTTCATCGTCTGCAAAATGAGAATTTGTAATACCTTTGGGAAAGAGGTTATGGGAAGATCAGGTGAGATAATGTCTGTGAAAGTGATAAAAAAGTAAAGTTCTATAAATAGAAAGCAGTATGATGATAATTGGAATTATAAGTATTTTTGTTACTGAGAAGCTGAGTCGCCAGTGTGATATAGGTATAGAGTTAGTCTTGATCTAGAAAGACCGACCTCTGATACAGAAAGGCTTTATAACTATGGGCAGGTAAGTCACTTAACCTCTGAGTTTCCCAGGCTGCTGTCTATGACTGAATTGGAAATGAGTTGACACTCTGAATCTGTAGAGGGAGAATCCCTAGCATTAATGAAATCATAAGTCATTGATAAAATAACAGGTTGTGGATTTTTTCTCTATCTTCCAATAAATAATTGTCATGATTATTATGGAGCAGAAGTAAGGCGTTAGTATCTTCCCCCATCCCTAAATACTTGCAGTTACTTGCAAATGTGGGACAGCTAGGTGGTACAGTAGGTAGAGTGCTGGGACTGGAGTGAGAAAGACCTGTGTTAAAATCTGGCCTCAGGCACTTACTAGCTGTGTGACCCTGGGCAAGTCACTTAATCTCTGTGTGCCTCAGTTTCCTCATCTATAAAATAGGGGTAATAATAGCACCTACCTCCCAAAAGTTGTGAGAATCAAATGAGATAATAATTGTAAAGAGCTTAGCACGGTGCCTGGAACATACTAAGAACTATATAAATGTTAGCTATTTTATTTAATGTAGTCAAGTGATTTCGTATGATTTGTTTGTGTTACTCCTTCCCTACCCCATTCCTTTTCCCCATTTTATGCAGTATGACTTTACTCTTTTTCTTTTTCTTCTGGGTTTGTTGTGATGGATGTTGTTTCTTAAAGGAAGCACTGTCTAAATGTGGGCTTTATTTAGGTTTAGCACATATGGAAACTGAGCTTGTTACACAATAACCTACTTTTTCTGGTTTTCTACTTCCAGGTTCCTTTTGCTGATGCTTTGGATTTGTTCCGAGGAAGGAAAGTCTATTTGGAGCGTGGCTTTGCTTTTGTGCCGCATCAGGATATTGTGTCAATCATCTTGAATGACTTTAGAGCCAAACTGTCCAAGGCTTTGGCAGTAAGTACATTGCTTGATTTTTTTCAGAGCTAACCTTGTCTCATCCCCTCTCTGTGATTCCTGTCCTTTGTTATTCTGGAATTTAACAGAGATCATGCTGCGTTTGGCCATTTAGGAAAACTTAGATGATGACTAGTCTATGTTGATGGTACTTAAAAAGAATGAACAAATAAGTTGAATAACCCCATACTAATTGTGAAGATAAATGTAAAGAGCTCAGGAGCACGTTTTATCGTTTGCAGGAAAACTAGAGGCTGTTGTCTGTTATAAAGATTTTCATAGTTTTTCTAGTAAGAAATAAAATGCAGCTGATTGAATTTATACCCTGGTGGGTTCCTGATGTTTCATTTTTTTAAAAAAATATCTCTAGATAGAAGAAACAATATTGACTTTCTTTAAATCCTTTTTTTAAAATAGCAGTTGAAATTTTGCTAATTTCAAAATCCTTGTCTTTTCAAAGTGTTTTTGTTTTCCCATAATAGAAGGGGTTCAGATTAATTTGCAAATGTACTCCTGCCACAGAATTGAGTTATGTACATATCTTTTTGTACTTTGGGTAGCACAGAATTTTTGAAATGTATCCCAGATTTTAAACTAAACCTGATCATAGGCTTGGAGACTAAAATGAGTGAGGAAGAAAGAGAAAATGTCCTATGTAAAATGATAAATGAATCCACTGGGGGCTTGCCATTCTGTCATAGGCAGATGTATAGGCTGTGCCAGGTGTGTCCAGACATACCCTAATATTAAAAAAAAATATGATTTTGTGTCTTGTTTTGAAAGTTAAATTTTGTTAGATTTTGTTTCTATAGTTTGATGAATAAAAATAATGTCCTCCATTATTGAGTATTCAATAAATATTCTCCTTAAACTGAAGAAAATTCCCTAGATGCATAACTTAAACAATTAGGGTATGGCTGTGAGTTTCGTTTGTTCTAAATAATAGAGAGAAAGTTTTGGGGGGGGGTGTGTAGGAGTAGGGTCCTTGCCCCTAGTTTGTGCAGCTCAGTGCTCCAAATTATACTATTATTGATGTTTTGAGGGCAAGGCACATCCTCTCAGCTGGCTCTAACATGAAGAAACAAAACATAAACAAGTATGAGGTTCAGGTGACCTGGTTCTCCTGTCTGGTCTTGAGTATTTCAGTTGTTAAAGCTTTCCTCCCAAGAGGTGATCTCTGCTCTCCTGTTTTAACTACTTCACTCCTCAGAGAAGTTAACAGTCAGTGAATGTAGAAGTGCCCATTGGGTACCGGGGTACAGAGAAAACTTAGATATGGTCCTTGTTCTCAAGTAGTTTCATTCTATAACTTGACAAGCATATGACAAGTATGGAGGGCTAATGAGTGATAGTACTTGTAAGAGTTACTCTTGTGACTTGATTTGGATTCGAATCTCAACTGTTTAGTACAGTGCCTGGCACATAGTAGGCCCTTAATAAATGCTTATTTCCTCCTTTCCTTCCATTCCTTCCTTCCTTCCTTCCTTCCTTCCTTCCTTCCTTCCTTCCTTCCTTCCTTCCTTCCTTCCTTCCTTCCTTCCTTCCTTCCTTCCTTCCTTCCTTCCTTCCTTCCTTCCTTCCTTCCTTTCTTCCTTCCTTCCTTCCTTCCTCTCTCCCTCCCTGTGTATTTCTTTGTAGTTCCTTTTCTTAACCTGAAGAAGGTCAATATACATTGTGATGTATCTTAAAGTCTTTTACACTGAGTATTTTACCCTGATCTTTGGTAGAGTACCCTCTAGGATCTTGTTCCTACAGTTTAGAGCTGAAGTCAGAGAGAGTTCTTTCTATTTAATAGTAAAAATGAGTATATGTTGATGGTGTCACAAATAATACAAGGAAAATTGGAGGTAGCTGCATTCAGCAAATATGAGTAAGATTTTGAAAGGTTCAAATTAAAACAGTTGCTGAAGGTACAATTCTTTAAGTGGTGGCTTTTTAAAAATATATACAGCTGTGTGATGACCTTGTCTTTTATTCTGTAGGTTAATTGTGTGTACTATTTCCACTTCTACTGTTATTATAGAGAATACTGGTGTGGTCCTATTTTTAAAAATAAATATCTGATATATTTTAGAAGAGGCGCGTACTGTTTTATTTTATCTTTCTTTTTCATCCCAAACCAAAAATTAAAAAACAAAACAAAACATTAAAAAGCATTTATTTCTTGGGGTTAAGTGACTTGCCCAGGGTCACACAGCTAGTGAGCGTTATATGTCTGAGTCCGAATTTGAACTCAGGTCCTCCTGACTTCTGGGCCAGTGCTCTGTCTACTGCGCCACCTAGGTGCCGTTTTATTAGCACTTGTTGACTACATTTAAACAGTTTTCATTTAAACCCAAATTCTGGCAAAACTAATCAGAATTGGCTGTGAAAAAGGATTCTATCATCCTTCTGAGCATTTTTGATCTAACTACTTTGGATTTTACAACTTCTCATCTAGTCCAAATCACAAATAAAGAATGAACTCCTTTTCTTATAAAACTAATGGTGTACAGATTTACTTGAAATTAATTGTATCTCGTTCTTTCTTAAAAAAATTGTTTTTTTTATATGCATATTATTTTATTTATTCTTAAATTATCTTAAAGAAGAAGATAGGTATGTTTTATTTTTTCTATGTGAAAAGTTGAGAAGGGGCAGCTAGGTGGCGCAGTGGATAGAGTACCGGCCCTGAAGTCAGGAGGACCTGAGTTCAAATCCGGCCTCAGACCAAACACTTGACACTTACTAGCTGTGTGACTCTGGGCAAGTCACTTAACCCCAATTGCCTAAAACCAAAAAACAAACAAACAAACAAACAGAAAAACAAAACAAAAACGAAAAGTTGAGAAACTAAATGTGTGTCTAGATAAATGTCAGGACATTTGATTTTCAATGGAAATGGTCTCAGTCTTTGAGAGAAGTGTGTCTAGATTTTCAGGTTGATAGTATTGGATCACTGAAAATTTCAGGGGCAGCTAGGTGGCGCAGTAGATAGAGCTCCAGCCTTGGAGTCAGGAGGGTCTGAGTTCAAATCCAACCTCAAACACTTGAGACTAGCTGTGTGACCCTGGGCAAATCACTTAACCCCAAGTGCCTCACCCCCCCAAAAAATTTCATAGTAACTTCAAAATTCACCTTAGGGCTGAATTTCTGACTTTTTCTTCCTGTGAAATTATGTCATTCTCCTTTAGTGCATCACTAAAGAACAGTTTAAAGGTTTTCAGAGATTTCCTGCCAGATCTTGATTTCTATGAACAGAAGGTTCTAGTGTCATGGTATTTATAAGATAGTCAATAATAAAGGATGTAGGGAGGGCAAGAAGAAGCTGAAGATCCAGTTTAAAAAAGTTTTTAGATAATGTTATGAATATAGCTGTCCTTCTTAGAGTATTTGAGAATTTTAGACTATTTAGGCTATATCCCTAACCTCGTTAGGACAGTTGCTGTTGTTTTTCACCACGTGTCTTTTCACCACATGTTCTTTGGAAGTATTATTAGAGAGTAGAATACTTGGCCAGGTAGAACATTGGGCTGACCCCAGTGTGGCATTTCCTCAATTCACATATTGAGCAAATTAATTTGGTTAAATCTATTGCTAAGGACTAGAAGATGTTAGACTTAATGAGACAATTTTGAACTATTTGGAATGACTCTTGATTAATAGACTCATGTTTATTGTTTGTGGAGGAAATTCCCTTGGCATGGTTGCTGCATTGTAATGCTGCAGACTGTAGGGTTATATAATTGTATTAAACAAAGTACTGTTTGTAAATGACTTACATGGTGTTGGAGTAAAGGATTGAGTTATTTTTGTATCTGGTACCTTTTTTTTATGACAGGAAGTGGAAGAGGCAGGAGTTGGAAGGGAAAAAAAGCTTTTTTTCTTCATTGACATCTGTTTGCATAGGACATGATGCTTATGGTAGATATTTTGACAGCTTATTTGTTATAGTATTATATTTATTTTTATATTTGATAACAAATAGGGGGATGAAAGCCTTTCAAAAAATATCCAGCTGTCATATTTTATCAGTATTGGCACGTTGTGTTGTAGTCATATTTTTTTAGTTAGCAAAATTCAGTGACTGTAAAATTCGTACAATCTGTGAAGTATATAGGATGACCATATACAAAATATAAGAAAAGATTAATATGGCCATCTGCATGCAGTTTTATGGACACTGATAAAGTCTTTGGAAAGATGGGGTGATACTATAAAAATGAAATACTTGAACAATCAAGGTGGCTTAGTAAAAACTATTAATTAGGAGGAAAATGGAAAGAAATTAAATTAAACACTTGCTTGCAAGCTGGATATTCTACTTCTTTCAGTACTTGGATGACTTGTGATTTCATATTTATTTGTGTATATTTTGTGACTAAATGTCTGTGTACATGTTTTATCCTTTGATGGAATATAAGTTTCTATGGGACTAGAATAACGTCATTTTTGTTTTTGTATCCCCAGAATAATTCTTGGCACATATTCAACTCTAAATAAATGCTTATTTGATTGCCTTAATATGGGTGTTGATCAAAACCAATCCATACTTTCTCATATTCTGAGATTCATGCCCAGGTTCTTTCATCACTTTCTCTAGGGAGTATCTGCTCAACCCATTTGAAGGCTTCCCCAAGGTCTTTATTATTTTATGGATACCAGTACAACACTTGGACTGCCTATCCATTTTCATTCACTCTTAAAATATAATTGCCACTCCCCCCCATTTTTTTAGTTTAATTTTTTTCTTAATAAAATTTTTAGTTAATTTTTTTTCTTAATAATTTTTCCTCTCAGATCTCAGTTTTGCCATTTACTATCTTTGTGACTAGGGGTAAGTCACCTTACTTCTCTAGTTTTAATATGCTTATGTATAAAATGAGATTATGTTAGATCATTGGAGGAAGCATAGATTTAGAGCCGGATGGGCCCTCAGAGGCCACCTAGGCCAACCCTCTCATTTTACAAAACCATTCAGGTACTATGTGCCAAATTTAGGATTTGACACGAGCTCCTCT